TCCTTCTTCTTTTTTTCTTCTCATCATTCTTCTTCTGTTTCAGATCCTCATTTTTTTTTTTCTTCTTCTTCTTCTTCGTCTTCGACCCTCGATCTTCCGGCTGCCGGCGGAATCCCCGCCCACTGGCCGCGCCATGGTCGGCGCTGATGCTTCGTGGCCGTGAGGTGCCGCCCGCGGGGCCTCCCCGCCCGCGGGCCGCGCCATGGTCGGCGCTGATCCTTCGTGGCCGTGAGGTGCCGCCCAGTGTCAAGGGAGGAAGAACCACTCCGGCCAGCTGAGCTGGCTGTTGCTAGACGCAGGGCGACGAGGTCTATACATATCCACTGCTCCTGGCCAGTCCCATCCTGGGCCCAGGATCTGTGTATACCCCCTCCTGGCTTGGCCAGGGAGGCATACACACAGCTCCTGGGCCCAGGATGGGTCTGGCCAGGAGCAGTGGATATGTATAGATCTCGTGGCCCTATAGACGGCCCTGGGCGTCTGCAGTGCCGTTTTTAATACATGCTCCGCGTGCGGACCAGGTATAATAAATGCAGGGATTCAGTGCTGCAAACAACGATGAGTTCATGTATAAGTTTATTCATGCATTAGTCATGTATTAGGAATCCGATGTTTCAAAGCATCCCATGTATTAAAAACTTCCCTGTACCGGCCAGCCCTGTCATGTTCGATTCCCGCCGCGGGTGCGTGTGTCAAACAGCTTTGTTGGTCGGGGTGCTTCCTATGAGTGTGGTTTCCTGCTCTTTGTATGGGGGCTCATCCGTTGGATGCAATTTTCTTTGATCTTTGGTGATTGCGGACGTGACCGGGAGGGGGCCGGTCACGTCGCGATTCGCGGGAATGCTTGCCAATGGCTCATTCCCAGACAGCGCCGGCGCGGTAACGTGACCAGGGGGGGGAGGGGGGGGGCGGGGCCAGTCACGGGCGCTACCGTGAATGTTAAAAAACGCGCTCGTGCGTGCCCCAAGAGCGAACAACGACGCCCTCCGCGCCGTCCCAGCAGCCCTCTCCGCGCCCCCGCTGCTGTAGACGCGCGCGGGCCGGGGCCGCGTCCACCCGACACCGCGGAGCCGGGGTCGCAGATGGCCGCCGCAGGGGGGGACGGGGGCCGCGGTGTCCTGCTCCGGAGGGGCGGTTCTGCCGCCGCCTGCGGCGGCAAGGAGCCTGGACAGCGCGACGTCCCAGCAGTGGCCGTGGGTCCGACCCAGCACAGGAGCGAACAACGACAGTATCCGCGCCGTCCCGGCAGCCCTCTCCCAGCCCCCGCTGCCACAGGCGCGCGCGGGGGCCAGGGCCGCCCCCGCCCGACACCGCAGAGGCGGGGCCGCAGATGGCCGCCGCGGGAAACGGGGGCCGCGCTGTCCCGCTCAGCAGCGACGTTTCCGCCGTCGCCTTTGGCGACAGTGAGTCCGGACAGCGTGACGTCTCAGCACTGGCGGAGGGTACGACCTATTCTCGGGGAGCAACACATTGCATAAACATGCACACTCGGAGGCCCGCGTGAACTCCTCGGACTGATCGGCGCTGGGCCCCTCCTGGCGCGCTCCGCGCGCCAGGGAGGGGGATCCAGCGCCGCAGCTCGTGGTTATGTGTGTGTGTGTGTGTGTGTGTGTGTGTGAGTGTTTTTTTTTTTTTTTTTTGTTCTTCCTCCTCTAGACGCGCAGGTTGCCGCGGGATTTGCCCCCCCAGACCTGCTGAGGAGCTGGGCGGCCGTCGCCTGTGGTAACAAGGCTTCCGCACAGCACGGCCTGCCAGTTCTTGCTCCGGGTCAGACCTACGCCAAGGCGCCGCCAGGAGGTTCCACGCAGTCTTGCTGCGAAAGGGCCTCGCAGCCGTCGCCTGCGGCGACAATGCAGTCAACGCAGATGGAGCGCGCGACATTCTGGCGATCGGTGACTGTTGCCAGTCAGACTTGCGCGTAAGTCGACGAGGGTTTGCGCCACGCAGCCCTGCTGGAGTGCTGGAGTCTGCCTGCGAGCCGGCAGTTTTTTTGAGAATCGAGCCTCGGCTGGGCATCTTTCCCAGCACCGTGCTCCGACCGCTTAGAGTCCCCAGTAGATAATGCGGACGTGGGCAACCCTCAATCGCGCTGGCGGTTCCATCGCACGGGTGACTTTAGGATCCAACATGTGTAGTACACGGGCAAATTGTGTGCCGGTATCGAAGTCGCGTTTCTGTTGGCTAGTTTCTGCAATCTTCCAATTCTCAGCATGTCCTGTGGCCGCGCCCACGGCAGGTCCTTCTCAAGATCCCGCTCGTGCCTCGGCGTCGCAGGTCTTCGCTCATCTGTCTCTTCCTCTCCACCTCCTCCGCCTCGGGTCGCCCTTCTTCCTCACTCCTCGTTCTCCCTCTCCTCCCTGTCTCATCTCAGGAGGGAAAAAACACAGACACAATTAATCGTCGATTCCCCATACAATATGGGAACATATGGGAAGTGGGGGGGAAGACAGAAACCCAGAAACTATGGAAAAACTTGGGGGATGCTTTTATCTGTGCGTATTTATTTGTGCGTCCTCGGGCCCCTTCATCATCGCTCCCTCTCCCCTCCTCCTCGTGCGCGCGGTGGGCGCGTGCCGCGCCGACGCGGCGGCGACCCCAGCGTTCGAGGGGTATTCGAGGTCGAACGCTGCCGGTGGCCCAGAGCCGGCCGCTGTCGAACGGTCCGCGCTGTCGGGAAGCTGGGATCGCTCAGGGTCGTGCGATCCACGCGGTGTCGGAAGCCAGACCCGCCGCATGGGGCGCTGCGTCGCCGCCGAAGCGGGAGGAGGGGGGGCGGCGCGCCCCTGCCACCGCCGCCCCCCCGAGCGAAGCGAGCGGGCGAGAAGCCGCCGACCGTCCGAGGTCGAACGATCCGCGCGGTGCCGAGGTCGAGGCCGTCACGCCGCGAGCCTGCCGTGCCCGCGGGGGTGGGCGGCAGGCCGGCGGCGCGCAGCGGGGGGGGGAAGGAGGGCTCCGAGAGCCTCTCGGAGGGCCCGAGGCCTTCCGAGCCTTCTGAGGAGGCCTTTGCCACCTCTCGCTGCCCCTCCGGGCCCGCCGCCGAGGATCGGATCGGCGGAGCTCGGCAGCCGGGCGGGGAGGGGCCGAGTCGGCCGAGCTCGGCAGGCCGGCAGGGCCGCCGTGGAGAGGCCGAGCTCCGGAGGGGAGCCCGCAGAGCCGAGTCCACGCGGAGGAGGCGTCGGCCGAGATCGACTCGAACCCCCCCTCCTCCTCCTCCTCCTCCTCCTCCTCCTCCTCCTCCTCCTCCTCCTCCTCCTCCTCCAGCCTTCCAGGTGCCAGCTGATGGGCGAGATCGCGCGGGGCTCCTGGGGCCTCTGCCGGGCCCCAGACGACCTCACGGCGCTGGGCCCCTCGGAGGCCGGGGGGGGGGTCCGCGCCCCGGGGTGGGGGTCCGCGCCGGGGTTGGCGGCGGGCCTGGGGGGCGGGGGGGGGGGAGGAGGGAGACGCGGCGGGAGAGGCGGGAGGTGAATGGAGAGGAGGGAGGGGCGGCGGGAGGACGGGAGAGGAGGGGAGGGGGAGGGGGGAGGAGGAGGAGGGGGGGGGGAGGGCGGGAGAGGAGGGAGGGTGTGAGCGGGCCTTCTCAGAAGGCTCGGGAGGCCGGGCGGGGCTTCCGAGTAGCCCCGCCGCCGTCGGAGGAGGCCTTCTCTCCCCTCTCGCTCCCCCCCCCCTCGACGGGGGTTCACCACTCTCTCCTGGGAGTCGAGGCTCCAGGATCGAAGCTCGCGTCCAGGTTTGGCCTTTTCGGGTCCTTCTGGAGGGCTCTGGGGTGCTCTTGGGGGGCCAGTTCCTGCAGGAAGCGGCGCCTCCTCGAGGAAGGGGCGGCCCCGCTGGTGTCAGGGGTTCGTACAGGGGGGTCATCCCAAGGTGGGGATGCTCTCGTTTCCTTGATCCAGAAGCCGTTGGAAGAGATTTTCTTCTAACTCCACCTGTCCCCACATACCCCACCTGCATGTCCCCCCGATTGTGGTGATCCACCTTGGCATTGTCCCAGAGGCCTGGGATGCGGTCTACCCGCGGTTGGTCTTCGCTCCGAAGTCTGAGATGAGCGAGAGCTACGACGGGCATGCGCCGGAGGAGGAGGAGCAGCGGCGCGAGCTGAGGCGGATGGCCATCTTCCAGGACTTGTTGTTTTGATTTGACTTGTTTTGTTTTGTTCTGGCTTGTTTTGTTTGTTTGTTTGTTTGTTTGTTGGTTGGTTGGTTGGTTGGTTGGTTGGGTGGGTGGTTGGTTGGTTGGTTGGTTGGTTGGTTGGTGGTTGTGGAATGCTCATTTCTAATGAATAATACTTGTTGCTCTCTGGAAACTGTTCCGCGCGCTCTCGCCTCGACGCCGGCTACATTTTGTCTGAAAACGAGGTTCCCGCTCGAGCGCTGGCTTGAGCCTAAATGTGGGCCCTTGGAGGCCCAGCTACGACAACAACGGCTCCCGCTCGATACTTCCTCTCCCGTTCGATATTTCTCCATCGGTATTCTGAGAGTCCCTGGCCAGAGAGGCCCCCGAACTCAGGAACGGCGCTCTCGCTCGAGACTTCTTCGCACTTCAGTCAGTGGCCGACAAGGAAGAGGTTCCCCCTCGGAAGGGGGTGCAATCAAGGACGAAGTGGGCGGGTATCGAGGGTTGGGGTATACGGAGTGCAAGACACTCGTGCCAGTAAGAGCGAACAGTCTTAAAATGATTGTGGTTGTGGTTGTTGTTGCTGTTGCTGTTGCTGTTGCTGTTGTTGTTGTTGTTGTTGTTGTTGTTGTTGTTGTTGTTGTTGTTGTTGTTGTTGTGGTTGTTGTTGCTGTTGTTGTTGCTGTTGTGGTTGTTGTTGCTGCTGCTGCTGCTGTTGAATTCTCATTTCTGAATAATTATTGTTGATCCTCCCTCACCGGTGCTTACTGTTTTTTCTCGATCAAAGTGTGCCCCTCGACGCTCGCACCCTGTTTTTTGACAGGGAAAGTCTTCCTGCTCAAACTGGCCCCCTGGCCCCCGGGTTACAACAACAACCGCTCCCGCCTGACACTTCCTTACAATTTAGCCAGGACCCCCGCTCCCGCCCGAGACTTCCTCGCATTTGATTCAGGAATCGCGCTCTCGCTTGGGACTTCCTCACAATTTATTCAGGAATCGCTCTCCCGGCGCTCTGGAGTCGCGCTCTCGCTGAAGACTTGCTTGCAACTTACTGAAGAATGGCCTTGCGTTGGAATTTCTTGCAATTTGCCCAAGCGCCGCGCTCCCGACACCCAGGCACGCAGGAGTCGCGCCCGTTGTGGCCCCATGTGCATGCCCTTCGTGGCCCCGCTGTCGCCATTAGTGTCCCCCTCACTGTCCTACGTGTCCCAGTTGCTACCCTCAGTGGCCCCACGGTTGCCTTCTGTGGCCCCGCATTATCTGCACTTCGTGGCCCCCTGTCGTTCGCGCTCTTCGTGGGCCCATACGCATTCCCTTCGTGTCCCCGCTGTCGCCCTTCGTGCCCTACTTCGTGTCCTTGTGGCCCTGCTGTCGTTCTCTCTCGCTCTCGCTTTCGCTCGTCGTCGCCGTCGTCGTCGTCGCCGTCGTCTTCGACGTCGTCGTCGTCGTCGTCGTCGTCGTCGTCGTCGTCGTCGTCGTGGTTGGTCCCCTGTCCGTCCCTCTTGGGGTCGGGTCGACGGTCCGTGGCCGCCCCGCCGACGCTGCCGCTGGCCAGGCCGACGGTCCGCGGCCGCCCCGCCGCTTGCCGGGGCCCGGCCTGCAGGGAAGAAAGGTATACCCCCCAAAAGGGGTTTGATCGAAGACGAAGAGGGCGGGTATCGAGGGTTTGGGAAATACGCGTTATTGGACACTCGAGCATATAAGGGCGAACAGTCTTAAACTGATTGTTGTTGTTGTTGTTGTTGAACATTATTAATTCTAAAGAATAATTATTGTTGGGACCCCTGGTGCGCGACCCCCCCCCCCGCCGCGCCAAGGCCGCAGCCACATTTTCATCATTTTCGTGAGGAAGTCTCAGGCAAAACGGGGTATACCAGATCCGGTTGTTTTGTTGACGCCCGCTTTCCCTTGCAAAACATAAGCTAAAGTGGACATTTCTTGTTCTAACATAACCAAACTTCAAGAATCCCTTGCAAAAAATAAGGTAAAGTGGACATTCGCGCGCGCAAGACGAAATCCTTCCAAAAGCTTAGTGTTCGGAACGATGTTAACATAAAAACATCAAAAAAACCAATGGTTTTTCAACAAAAAAATGTCAAAATCTCATCCCGCGCGCTCTTGCGGATTCGTAGGAAACCCAACACTTTTTTAAACATTTCTGTCAAACGGGCTTTTGCGAGCAACTTTTTCGAACTTTGCAACAACGGTTGCGCACCTGCCAGGGCCATCATCCCTGTCAAATAATACCATGCGGGACACATTCGTTTTTTCTTCGCGCGCGCACGCCGTCGTCGTCGGCCGCGGGGCCCTGAATAGTAGCACGGTCGTCCGCATGCCACGAAGTGAAGTGTCCGAACGTCATAGGGCGGGAAGCTGGGTGTGGGTGGTGGCGAAGAGTCGTTTGGAAATTTGGTAGAGCTTGAACCGCCCCCCCACAAAGTGGGGGTATTGCCCGCCTCCTATGAAAACCCTGGCACTGGTGAGAACGGAGTGTCCCCACGTGCTAGTAATTGTTGTTGTTGTTGTTGTTGTTGTTGTTGTTGTTGTTGTTGTTGTTGTTGTTGTTGTTGTTGTTGAACATTATTAATTCTAAAGAATAATTATTGTTGGGCCCCCTGGTGCACGCCCCCCCGCCGCGCCTAGGCCGCAGCTACATTTTCATCATTTTCGTGAGGAAGCCTCAGGTAATACGATGTCATCAAGATCCGGTTGTTTTGTTGTAATCCGTTTTCCCTTGCAAAAAAAACACTATAAAATGACATTTCTTGTTCTAATATAATCAAATTTCAAGAATCCCTTGCAAAAAATAAGGTAAAGTGGACATTCGCGCGTGCAAGACGAAATCCTTCCAAAAGCTTAGTGTTCGGAGCGATTTTAACATAAAAACATCAAAAAACCAATGGTTTTTCAACAAAAAAATGTCAAAATCTCATCCCGCGCGCTCTTGCGGATTCGTAGGAAACCCAAGACTTTTTAAACATTCTGTCAAACGGGCTTTTGCGAGCAACTTTTTCGAACTTCTGCGACAACGGTTGCGCACCTGCCAGGGCCATCATCCCTGTCAAATAATACCATGCGGGACACATTCGTTTTTTCTTCGCGCGCGCACGCCGAAATCTCCAAAAATCATCCCAGGAACTTGACCCAAAAATGTGACCAACTCCGCTCTCTCTGTCTCTCTCTCTGTCTGCTCTCTGTCTCTCTCTCTGTCTCTCTGTATTATGTATTGTAGGGCACAATTGCACCATGCTGGGCACATGCGCGCCCCGAATAAGTGACCAAGTTCTGTGGGTGTGTACCCCACGCCAGTGTAGTAGCCACGGTCGTCCGCACGCCACGAAGTGAAGTGTCCCAACGTCATAGGGCGGGAAGCTGGGTTTGGGTGGTCGC